CTAGGCACCAGGTTCAGGGGATCACAGGGAGGACATTGTGCAGCCCCTCTTCCCATTCCTCACCCCCAGACTCACACCAGAGTGGGCGAGCAGGATTGGCTGGAACAGCGGTATGAGCACAGCGCCACCAGGCATGGGCAGGGAGGTGACGGCTGTGGTAGGGGCTTTCTGGCCACTGCCCATCTTCCAAAACCTGCAGGCACAGCGCCATGGTGCCAGGCCACTGGCAGTGACCAGGGCTTCAGACCCCTGCTGCAACTGCCACGCAGTGGGCATGCAGGAAAAACGTGGTCCTTAGGAACAGAGGAACCCCCAGCGTGGCCGGGCTTCCGTGCCCATGTGGAGTGTGGGCAAGTCTGCCTGTAACAGCGTGAACAGTGACAGCAGTGACACTGAGCCCTTCCTGCATGCTGTGCTCTGCAGTCCTCCAGTGCTCTCCTCTCCATCACCGGCAGCCCAGCCTGAGAGGATTCTGGAAAGAGCCGGGCCTGGCCCGGCTGTGCTGTAGATACTGATGGTGGTTATTAGGGGGAGGGGCACACGGCCTGATGAGGAGCATGTGCACGTGTGTGTCCGCGTGACCGTGTGTGGTTGGCCAGTGGGACCCGCAGCTACCACCATTAGCCCCTAGCAGGGTGCCCAGGATGTAGGAGGTGCTTAGTCATTGCTTGTTGAATGAATGAATGAATGAATGAGTGAATGAATGAATGAGTGAATGAATGAATATATGTTTGCATGTGTGCAGTGGAGAGACTGCCACTAAGGTATAGGCTGTTTTAGAAGAAGGATTCTGGAAGAAATGTCAAAAAGCTGAGAGTCTTGCAAACATATAAAAAAAAAATGCTCAACATCTCTAATCATCAGAGAAATGCAAATCAAAACCACAATGAGATACCACCTGACCCCAGTGAGAATGGCCTGTATCAAGAAATCCCAAAACAACAAATGCTGGCGAGGATGCGGAGAGACAGGAACACTCTTACACTGCTGGTGGGACTGCAGATTAGTGCAACCTTTGTGGAAAAGAATTTGGAGATACCCCAAACAACTAGAAATAGAAATACCATTCGACCCAGCAGTAGCATTGTTGGGCATCTACCCAAAAGAGCATAAGACATTCTATTATAAAGACATCTGCACCCGAGTGTTTACGGCAGGACAATTCACTATTGCAGGGTCATGGAAACAACACAAGTGCCCGTCAATTCATGAGTGGATAATTAAAATTCCATATATGCTCACAATGGAATATTACTCACTTCTAAGAAATGATGGTGAGCTAGCACCGTTTACGCTATCCTGGATTAAGCTTAAGCCCCTTATCCCAAGTGAGGCGACACAAGACATGGAAAATGGGCTCCACATCTACTCGCCATCAGATTGGTACTGACTGATTAAAACTATGGTGCTCAGATGGTGGTAATGTTCACCAGGGATTCGGGGGTGGGGAGACCCACATCTTAGGGATGTGGCGAGCATTGTGGGGGGAAAGGGCATACCTCTAACCCTTCTTAGGGAGAGGCAAAAATATACAATGCAACCAAAATGTCAAAAAAAACCCAACTTTTATCGGGTGGAGGGCAGGTGGCAGGGGGGAGGAGGGGAAGGGTGTATACTTACATGATGGGTGTGGTCCGCACCACCTGGGGGTTGGACACCCTTGAAGCTCTGGCACATGTGGGGGGGAGGGGAGGCAGGGGCAATATATGTAACCCTAACAATATTTGTACCTCCATAATATGATGAAATAAAAGGGAAAAAAAAAAGCTGAAATTCAGTCATTGGAAATTTCAGGGGGAAAAGTGGCTCCAAATTAATTTAAAAATATAGTTCTTACAAAATTGACCATTGCCAAAAACTAGGAAGAATAGCCAGGGCTTGCAAGTGTGAAGTCGGTTGCCCTGATTGAAGACTAAATTACGGCCGGGCGCGGTGGCTCACGCCTGTAATCCTAGCACTCTGGGAGGCCGAGGCGGGCGAATTGCTTGAGGTCAGGAGTTTGAAACCAGCCTGAGCAAGAGTGAGACCCCGTCTCTACTATAAAAGAAAGAAATTACTTGGCCAACTAATATATATAGAAAAAATTAGCCGGGCATGGTGGTGCATGCCTGTAGTCCCAGCTACTCGGGAGGTTGAGGCAGGAGGATCATTTGAGCCCAGGAGTTTGAGGTTGCTGTGAGGTAGGCTGATGCCACGGCACTCACTCTAGCCTGGGCAACAAAGCAAGATTCTGTCTCAAAAAAAAAAAAAAGACAAACTTAAGATATCTTTACAGAGAACAATTTGGCAATTATTATCAAAGCCTTAAAAACTTAAATGTTACCCCCATAATGTCCTGAATAAATTTAAAAAAAAAACTTAAATGTTGGCTGTTCCGAGTGCAGTGGTGTTTACAACTAATGGATCACAACCAGTTACAGATTCCTTTGTTCCTTCTCCACTCTCACTTGACCAGCCTAAACCTACCCCCACAAAAATTTAAATGTTTTGTAGAAGCATTTATGTTTATTCAACAGCTATAAATGAAGCTTCTTCTATGTGCCAGTGATGATGCAAGGTATACAGTGGTGATCAAAACAGACATGGTTTTTGCGCTTAGGGAGTTCACTTTGTAGAGGGAAGATATAATCAAATTACCACATAAACTTATAATTATGGGAAAGAAAACGAAGTAAGTAAGGCTAATGCTTTCTACCGTGGGGTCGGGAGATGGAGGGTTGTACTCATACCTGCTAAAGGTCAAGCCGCAGGATGTCCCGGTAGACTTAGATAAGAAGCTGAAGTCAGTGTCACCAGCCTTCGGCATCGCTCAGCTGGGAGTACCCTAGTTAACTAACCAATCACAAGTTTGCAATTTAGGATTTCTGCCCAATCAATGAACTGCCTCTGACAACAACTATAATCCCCTATTAAAAAAAAAAAAAAAAAAAACCTCTCTTGCACTTATGGGATACCATTCAGGACTGCCCTGGCTCAGTGCACCCCAATTGCAATCCTTTGTTTCCCAAATAAATGCTGTTGCCTTTGACCTCTGTGTCAATCCTTTCTTTAGTTAACAATTAAAAACTGTAACAAGTAGTTTGAAGGAAGAGAGTAGGATGCTATAAGACGTGATAGCAGCAGGATGGACCCTAATTAGATGGGGCGGTCAGGACAGGCCTGTCTGGGGGAGGGACATTTAAGAGAGGGACAAAGGGGGACCTAAAGGATGAATAGACATGGCCAGATGATAAAGGGAGGACATGGGTTCAAGATGTAGAGAACGGCATGTGCAAAGGGCCTGGGGCAGGAAAGAGCTTGGTTTGCTTGAGGGGCTGACCCGAGGCCGGCGTGGCTAGAGTGCGGTGAGTGGTGGACAGGGTGGGGGCTGAGGCAGAAGGGACCAGATCATACAAGGCCTTCCTTATAAGCCCTGTTTCGGAGTTGGATTTTATGCTAAGTGTGACGGGAAGTCGCTGGAAGGTTTTAAGCAGAGGAGTGGGTGGCAGGATCCAATTGGAGTGGAGGCTGGATTGGAGGAGGCAGAGAGTGGAAGAGGGAAGGTGACTTAGGGGGATCATGTCTGTGGCCAGGTGGGATCCCAGGGGTGATGCGGGGAGGAAGGCAGCTTTGGGATACAGTAGGTGCGGGCTGCTTGTGGCTGAGAGGGAGCAGCCCCAGCGGTGCTGGAGAACCGTGCAGCGGCGGGGAGAGGAGGAGGACGGGGCCAGGGACTGGGACGTTTGGGCGGGTGGCAGTGGGCGGGGTGGTGACCGGGTTGGCCACGGGACTCAGTGCCCGAGGTGAGATGCGGGGTAACAAGGAACCCAAGGATGCGAGTGGCCAGGGGGATCGACGGGTCATCCACACAGCTGCATAAACCCCAGAGATGAATTAGAATAGCAGAATGTTGGCAATAGCCAAAGTGCCCAACTATTAGGGATGGCTAAGTAAATCACGGCGAATCCACTGGGCAGAGTATGTTAGAGCCACCAACGGTGTGGGCCACACAGCGGGCAGCACGGAACAGCGTGTCTGATATACTTACTGTTACCTGGGGGAGACACTCCCCAACCCCCCAGGAAGGGCTAACTCACTTGGGATAAAACCGATTTCCTCATTTATTTATTTGAGACAGAGTCTCGTTTTGTTGTCCAGGCTAGAGTGCCATGGCGTCAGCCTAGCGCACAGCAACCTCAATCTCCTGGGCTCAAGCGATCCTGCTGCCTCAGCCTCCCGAGTAGCTGGGACTACAGGCATGCACCACCATGCCCGGCTAATTTTTTGTATATATATTTTTAGTTGGCCGATTAATTTCTTTCTATTTATAGTAGAGACGGGGTCTCGCTCTTGCTCAGGCTGGTTTCGAACTCCTGACCTCGAGCAATCCGCCCGCCTCGGCCTCCCAGAGTGCTAGGATTACAGGCGTGAGCCACCGCGCCCGGCCCCTCATTTATTTTTAACACTTGTTATTGAAGTGCAGGGCACTGACAGAACAGAAAGTCGGTGAGTGCTCACCATGCAGCCAGCGCCAGGTCACGAAAAATGCCCCTGATGTGTGTCGCCCCCCCTCCACCCCCCGCCCAGCATTCTACAGTCGGAGCCACCGTCTTCTCCGTACCTGGTTTTGCCTGAAACCTCAATTCGGAATTTTAAATAATTGACACACGTGGGGCATAATCATTTCCCCCCTGTGCACTGAGGGGAATTTGACCAGGTGTCTGAGAATGTTACCAAATGAAACGTTTTCGATGTGGTTACAGCTAATGTCTTTTGAAAGGAAATGGGAAACAGCGGGGTTTCTAGATCTTTCGTGAGGGCGCGTTTGTGTTAGTTTTGTGTGGAAGAAAGCTCAAGGCGGCAAACCTCGGCAGGCGCTGCTGTGCTTTCCACGTGCCGTCTCTGGGGACGGCTTGGAGAAGGGACAGGCAAACCCCAGCCCCGGGCTCAGGAAGGAGCCGGCCGTGGCCTTGCCTTTCCTCACTCATGAGCCTCACCCTCTCCCTCCTTCCTTCCCACAGGTAGAAAAACTTGTGAAATATCTGGACCCCAACGACCTGGGGAGAATCAACTTCAAAGACTTCTGCCGAGGAGTGTTCGCCATGAAAGGTGAGGCCCCTGGGGCAGGGGTCCTCTCTCGGGTCCTCTCTCCCGTCCTGTCCAGCTGGGGAGGCCCCACCGTGGGCTCCGGCCCCGGCCACCCAGGGGGGCAGACAGGCGGGAAGGGGCTTGGGCTCCCACAGGTGGCCCAGCCGTGGGGGCTGCGGGTCTCCCCGCAGCTCTGCCGCAGCCCCACACCCAGAGCCGGGGAGGCCTGCACCGGCAGGACGGTCCTTTCTGCCCTTCCCGCTGTCTGTCCCCCTCGGGGGAAAGGCTCCCTCTTCCTTTTCCTCTCCCTGCCCCTCTAGCATGACCCAACTCCTGAGGGCTTTCCCAGGGCCAGTTTTGAAACCAGGACCATTCTGGGCAAACCTGGACTGACCCGTCACCCTATCTGCCTCCCTCCTTCGCAGTTTCCTTTATTGTCCCTCCCTGCTCTCTCCTCCTCTTAACTCCTCCTAATTCCTTCCTTTCTCCCTCCCCCCTTTAAGGGGGCAGTATAAAATCCCTCTCCCTCTCTCTTTTCCCAAATTCAAAGGCCCGCGGTGAGAAACCCGCAGGAATCAGAGCATGGCCGAGCTTGCTGACAGTGTGCTGAGCTGTCCTTCTGAGACGGTGGCTCGGGTCACCCGCCAGGTGGACTTGCTGAGGCGTCCCCACTAGCTGCAGAGAGAGAAGTCACTTCTGGGCGTTAGGCGTCCCAAGGCATCCTGACACCTCTGAAGGAAGCGGTGGTTCCCCGTGTGTGGGGGTCAGATCAGGAGGAGCCTTCTCTGCGGGGTCCCCTGAGTTCTGGGCGGGTGGGACGGGGGCAGGAATTGCTCAGTGGAGGTGACGGGTAAAGAGCAGCGGGGAGAAGTTGGGGGCACAGCACACAGAGGTCCCCAGGAGAGGTTTTCCTGATGGGCTTGTTTGACTCTTTGGGGCCACCACAGGCTGCACCTGCCATGTGTCTGTCCTGGACGCTTTGTTGGTTTTAACTCTTTCGTCCAGGTTAATTTGGGGGTGTTTGCTCAGGAGCCCGGGAGGGAGGTCGCCTGTGTAACCGCACCAGCAGGAGCTAGAGCCGTCCTGAGGGTGGTCCCATCCTGGACGTTCTAGGGCTTGCAGGACTTGGTCGGGGGCGCTCAGCCCAAGGGAATGGGCGTGTGTGGAGTCCCTGTGGGCCAGGCGGGAAGTATTGTACCATCTCCCTTCCTCCAGGAAGTCCTCCTTGAATGCCTGTGTCCCAGCCTGCCCTCTGCATTTGAGAATCTCTTTTCTGTGTGTTCTTTGTTGGGCTAGACCCAGTGGACGAGCGTCTCTAGAGCAAGGACCTGTCGCAGCTGCCTCTGCAGTGTCCCCCAGCCTGGGGCTCTGTCCCTGCCTCCTGGGGACTCGGGCCACCTGTCTCCCCTCAGGCCTTCCCACCCCATGCCCACTGGAAACAGAGCGGCTGTGCCAGGCTGGGGCTCAACCCTTCACTGTCTGTCTGTCCGTCCGCCTGCAGGGTGCGAGGAGCTGCTGAAGGACGTGCTGTCCGTGGAGAGCGCGGGGACGCTGCCGTGTGCACCAGAGATCCCAGACTGTGCGGAGCAGGTAAGGCGAGGGTGGCCTCGGGCCTCTGCCCTGCCTGGCCCTCCGTGGTCCTTTTGCCTGTGTTGCACCTTTTTCCAGTATCTGGGAGGACCCAGAACCTCCCTCTGAGGACCCTGTGGCATCCAAGTCAAGCGGTAGTTTTGGAACCGGAGCATCGCAGCCCCTGGGAAGCCCCAGCAGGGCGAGTATGAGCTGGGGGTCCTCACGGAGCATCTTTACTCCTGTCCATGGCACCGAGGAGAAACTGAGTCCCAGACAGGGAAAGTAGCAGGCTCGAGTTCAGGCAGGCAGGGCTAGAATTCTCTTCCTTTTCCACTGCACCAAACCCTCTGAGCCGACAGGTCCCTGTGTGTTTTTCTCCAAACAATAAACTAATTCTTCAATTCTCTGAGATGAATCGGGTGTCCAGCAATTCAGTTGAACCCACCATTAACTTCCCAGAGTGAGCACAGACCCTGTGAGTCAAAGATCAGCCCCACAAGACTGCCCTCCACTAAAGATGCCAGCCCCACTTCTGCCTGGCCAGCTACCAATTCAGGGGCTTCCACCACTGGGAAAGGTTCAGTAATTCACTAGAACAGCTCGGGAAAACATTATGCTTGATGATCATCAGTTCGTTATAAGGGATACAGCTCAGGAATAGCCACGGAGATGCACCAGACAAAGTATGGGGCTGGGGGTTGGTGCAGAGCTTCCTCACCGTCTCTGGGACACCCCCTTCCCAGCACATCCGTGTGGCCACCAGCCCCAGAGCTCTCTGCAACTTGTCACTCACATGCTGTTATAACACCATCTGCAGCCCCTCTCTTTTTCCTGCAGTGGGGGGAGGTGGGGCTGAAAGTTCCCGCCTTCTAATCAAGTGTTTGCCTTTCTGGTGACCGGCTCCACCCTGACACCGTCTAGGGGCCCCACCTGGGTGACCTCATTAGCATAAACATGGAGGGCTGAGCGTAAGGTGCCTGTCATGAATGAAAGCCACTCCTATCAGGAAATGCCAAGGGTTTTATAAAGGAGCTCTGTGCCAGGAAGTAGGGACAAAGACCACAGTCCCCAGAGCTCTGTTTTCATCACCTAATGGCATGTTTATTATAAAACTTGGAACTATTTTTTCAAGCACTGCAGCTTCATCCTACAGAGAAATAGTTTAAGACGTGCATGTGGACAATCTCCAAGGTCCCCGCTGGCTGAGACACTCAGAACTAAAAGAGGATTGTTTTGGTTTCTCATCCAGGCAGTTCCAAAACTTCTTCTCCAGCTCTGGTTGGTGCTTCATCTGGACCTCAAAAAACATGAGTATTTTTTTATAGCTGAAGGAGGCCCAGGACCCCAGAGGTCACTATGGCCAGTGGTGGGTCTGCTGGTTTCCAGCCGGGTAGTGGGTCAGGGTTGGGTTCCATGCTCAGTACTGGGAGAGGGAGAGTCTGTGAAGAGGGTCACGATGCCAAGGGCTGCCAAGCAAAACGTGTTAGAGAAGCCACTCTCCGGCCTTGACCAAACCCAGGCACCAGGTGTGGGCCAGGGCCTCCTAGCTGGGAGTCAGGTGGGCGGATCTCAAGGTGCTGTGCTCAAAACAGGAGCCCTCAGGGTTGAGCAAAGAGAGCTGGGCTCTACGCATGTGCCAAGGCCAGCAGTGCAGGTCCCAGGCCTGCCTCAATGGATCCGGTATGTGTGGGACCAACTTATGGGACCAGGATCAGGGCAGAGGACCCCCCGTGTGGGACAAACAGTGAGTGCCCCAGGAGTTTCTTGGAGGGGCCCTTTGTGGACACAGTAAGGAGGTGTGTAGAGGCCTCCCCCAGAACGGGGTCCATGCCCCACCTTAGCCACTGACTGGCCGTGCAACTCTGAGCGCATCCCTCTCAACCCTTGTGAGCCTCAGTTTCCCCAACTGTGAAACACAGCTCGCCACGCCAGTCTAGGGGCTCCGTTGTGAAGGTTCAGTGAGAAAACAGACCCGTAGTCCCTGATGACTCCCTGCCTCCTGGTGCTGTGTCTTAGAGATTAGTATGAGAAAGTGGTGTTGAAGTTAAGGTTTGCATTTTTTGTTTTACCCTTGGATTCTGGTGTTTCCAAATTATGTCAAAATAAAGCCCTGGCCCCGAGAGCTGGGGCAGAGTGGCGCGGAGGCCCAGGGCTCACCTGGTGGCAGTGCCCAGGAGCTGGGCCCTGTCCCCCCTGGTCTTTGGCTGCCTTTGCAGCCCCACGCTCAGCCCATCCACAGTCCCAGAAAAGAGTGCATGGAGGAAAGGTAAGAAATGGGCGTGGAAGAGTTGGCCTCCAAGAGGGTGCCCTTCTTCGTAAAGCAATGTGGTTTGGAACCTCCCAAATCTAGAGGTTCTGGGAAAGCAGAAAGGACTCGGTCAGCTGATGCCAGCAAGCCTGGTGCTTCTCCTCCTTGCCTCCTGGGCCTCTGCGATCGGATAGGTGTTTGTCGCTTTGGGATTTTTTTGAGACAGAGTCTCACTGTGTTGCCCAGGCTAGAGTGAGTGCCGTGGCATCCGCCTAGCTCGCAGCAACCTCAATCTCCTGGGCTAAGTGATCCTGCTGCCTTAGCCTCACAAGTGGCTGGGACTACAGGCATGCGCCACCATGCCCGGCTAGTTTTTTCTCTATATATATTTAGTTGGCCAATTAATTTCTTTCTATTTTTAGTAGAGACGGGGTCTTACTCTTGCTTAGGCTGGTTTCAAACTCCTGACCTCGAGCAATCCGCCCGCCTCGGCCTCCCAGAGTGCTTGTTGCTTTTGGTTTTAAGCTCTTCCCGGGAGAACTCCTTTCCACCCTCCTCATAGATCTGTCCCCGACAGACAGCTTGGTCGGCCTGAGCCTAGCTGGGGACACAGGGCAGCCTTGTGAGTGTGCTTATAAGGCAGCCTGGTTGACCCGGGCTCTGTTCCTCCTGGGCTCCCCAGGGCTGGGGGGGAGGAAGGGGTCACAGGTCAAAGGCCAGCCCACTGCAGGGAGTGGGATCGCAAAGGATGATCCCTTCCGGGCTCAGGCTCCTCACAGCAGGGGCGAGACCACCGCCCTCCAGGTGGACGATCAGAAGGGACCGGCCACGAGCAGGTCCTGGTCCTGCAGGTCAGGCCCTCAGTGCCCTGCTGTGTCCCGGCTGTCCCCTAGGGGTCAGCCTGAGACCGAGACGCCAGCAGGCGCCTGGCGAGACGCTCCCAGGGAACACAAATCTGGGGCGTGATGGGGGCGGTGCAGGGGTGACACACCAGGAGGCAGGAGGAGCTTGACCCGACCCTGTGCATGTGTGGAGCTTCCTGGGGTCCGGTGCCCTCGTCACTACCTAACCTCACCCCCCAGGATGGGGCCGTGTTCGCCCCTTGGGGACTGAGCCCCTCTCCACGCGTGGCGGCACCCACGGCCAGCGTCCTTACCCGTGCTCCTTGAGCTCGGGTCTGCGTGTTTCCAGGATTAGATATCTGGAAGTGGAATTACTGCATCAAAACGTATGCAGATTTTATTCTCTAATTGACACAGCCAAAAGTTTCTTCCCAAAAGCCTGTGCCAATTTTATCATCCAGCAATATATAAGAGTTCCGTTCCCTTATCCCTTTCGCCGACCCCGGAAGTCACCCATCCGCCCACGGGCCTCCCTCCCTTCTGCTCGCCAGTCTGAGGGAGGAAAACCCTGTCACTGTCCTCTGTGTTGCCCTGGTTACCTGTGGACCAGACCGTCTTTTCTCGTGTTTCCCAACTCTCAGGATTTCTGCTTCTGTCGATTACACGTATTCTTTACTCATTTTCAAGTCAGTTGTTTGTTGTCTTTTCCTTGTTGACTTATAGGAAATCTCAATCTTTATGCATTTTGCTTCTATTTTAATCTTATTTTCGGTGTCTTTTATTGTACAGAAGGTTAAAATTCTCCCCCTCCAAGCACTCACCAGGCCCGACCCTGCTTAGCTTCCGAGATCGGACGAGATGGGGCGTGTTCAGGGTGGTGTGGCCATAGACCAGAAGGTTAAAATTCTGATGTCATCGTTTATCGATCGATACTTTTACTCGATTTACATTTTGTGTCTTATTTTGTGCCTTTTCTATCTCAAGGTTATACACATTTTCTCCTATGTATATTTCACATACTTTTAAGGAATAAAAGTATTTATGTTTGGCTCTTTGGTCCACCTAGAGCTTATTTCTGGTTTTGGTGGGAGTAGCAATCTGGACTCTGATCTTTCCGATGTCGCCAGTGCTTTGAGTTCCAGGTGTCCAACGGTCCTCCTTTCTCCACTCATTTGCAACTTCACCTTCGTCGGATGCTAGCTTTCCTCATAAATCTGGGTCTCTTCCTGTACTCTGTCATATTGATCTATTTGTCTGCCTATTTTTAAACCAAAACCACAGTTTCATTCTGGTTTTATATTAATAGTTGGATATCTGACAGGGAAAGCCTCCCTCATCATTCTTTATTTAAAAAAAAAAATTTTTTTTTGTTATTCTTACATACGTTCTCTTCCAAAATAGTCTTTTTGTCAAATTCTATTACAAATCCTGCTAGAGATTGTGTTTAAGATTGAATGTGTGCATCACCTGAAGGAAATTGATTCTCTACAATATTACAATCTCTCATCCAAGAACATAGATATCTCTTCATTGATTCTGGTCTTCCTTTATGCCCTGTAGGAAAATTTTTTTGTGATTTTCTTTAAATAGGTTAGGTACATTTTCTTATTAGGGTGACTATAATTCAGAGTTCCTATTGCTTTGATGTGTAGGATCTTCTTGCTATGACATTTTCTAATTGGTTATGGCTGATATATAAAAATGGTTTTGATTTGTGGTGTTGATCTTGTCATGACAACCTTATTAAACTCTCTTTATGTTCTAATGGTTTATTTATATCCTATTTTTTTTCTACCCCGCTTAATCCTATATAACAGTGTAACCATATTATTTTTCAGCATAATTTTAAGTGGCTACATAATATTTTATCACATGAAGACAACCAACTTTATATACCAGTTTCCTATTTTGGGGCATATATATGTTTT